CGATAGCTTTAATTACGTTGAAAGGAAATTCTTCTATTTATAAATTACTATATTCAGTACTTGAAACCTTTTGGTAATATTGACTATGATATGTAATACTACATCATGTTCATTGGATTTCATACCTGAGACCTGAATACGTTTCTCTTTCTTTGATGATCATGCGACAGTAAGCGATTTTACTATAAAATACGACATGTAAAAAGCTGCCTATAAATACGACTGTATAGTTTCAGAAAATATGTTCGTAAAGAAACGTTTCTTCACTGAAACGTCTCTATTTTTTTAGTGAATCAATAAGCATTTTTTAATAGTTTGAATGTTAAAAGTAATATTCAAAATTTGTATGTCTGATATATGAAATCATGATAATCATCTGAAGTTGTACGTTTTTTAGAAACACATTTGAATTCAATAATAAACGTGTACTTTTAAATGTATTCCAGCTACTCCAGTGACATCGAAAGCTTTATTGTATTATTTCAGGCTGCCGGTACATTCAAACGATATGCCTTAAACATATTTTTCAAAACAATAAACATCATTTTTACTGATAACCTTAATCCTTTTCCAGTCATTTGTAAAGATGTCGAGATTTTAGAATAATAATGAAATAGTTGAATAATATATTCAGGGGAATATTAATGTTAGGCGATTGGAGGTAGACGAAATTAAACTGTAGACCTAGGATTCCTGATAGTTGACACTCGTTAGTAATACCTACTTGTAACCACGACCGGATCGATGCTTTTCGGTGGATTCGAACCTAAGTTCTTCAGCTTTACAGCTTTTGACATTACTACTGAGCTTTACAAGTCACAACTGGCACACTGCAGGACTCAAATGTTTACAGGTGATTGATCACTGAGTAGTCCTCAGCCCCGTGTCTGTTTAGTCCCTTAGGGATACGTTTTTTTCCACTAAATTGTAATATGATCACTAGTCCATGGTTTTCTGTTGACTAGCCTCAACCATCTAACATCTCAGCTTAGTGAACACAATGTCAAGTTACCTAGACTAGTGATCGCCGATAGAACTTGATAGGCGCTATAGCACTAGTCAAATCTGACAAGGGAAGCTACTGAACGATTAATCATTTTTAGAAAAAAACAACAAAAGGAGAAGAAAAATCACTATCATTAACAATTTAGGTGAAAAAACCAAGATAAAAAAATAATAGATCTTAAATATTGTAAGAGTACTCGGTTTCTTACTCTGGAATTTGAATGAATAATTCTTATTTAATATGTTTAGTTTAAACAGAACACAAAAAATTGTAAGATACCTGTATAAAATAAAAAGAGCCTTCTGTAGACATTTATTTTGCGATATCAACATGATTGAGATATTTCAATTGTTTAAGTAACAGATCTATCATATGAAGGTAGGTGAATAATTTCATTCAAAACAACTTTTGTTTAGTAGCATAAATACTCATTTATTCTCATCAGTTTTAGTATAAACAATAAATAGAAAATGGTTTTCATTATGAGGTTATCAACGACTATACGTTAGTTGGTTAACTAATATCTACTAATCTTTGAGATAAAATAATTATTCAGATCGAAATTAATTACATCGATTCATGTTACTTTAAGTTTCTCCATTTATGTATATAAAGGAAACAATTTCATGTGATAATCAGCGACATTAGTGTTATAACTCGTGACTATAGATTATGGAGCAGCGTATTATCGACCGGACTAAAGACGCGTAAACACGTAAGAACGGCCTAGAGTTCTGATTGACCCCACTTCTCTGTCTAGCCCAGCCAGTTGAGTCCAGAACGTAAGTCTCAGCCTCTGAGATATGAATCATTATATTTCAAGCACACTGAGTTTATATACCAAACAAACCGACCACAACGTACCAAGAAAATATGAAACAACATTTGTACAAGAATTAGCCAGATGTGGCTGTGAATGAGGGAGGTAGCAATTAACAGACAGGGAATAATTAATGAACGGTAAACCATATAATAATAGTTCATAGGTCAAAATAAAGCTTACAATAAGAGGGACATGAATATGAACAGTTTAGTTACATAACAATTACACGGTAAAAATATACTCATAATATTGGTCCATAAATGGATCCCAAAAATTACCATTCATTATTCCTATCGGGATACAACAATTAGATTCTGTTAAACTTCCCTTAAGTTGGTAAATCGGGTCGAATGATTTAGTGAACAATTAATATTTTTAAAGTTGACCATACTATTTTATTACAGACCATACAATTTACAAATGATTGAATACTTAGAACTGTAATAATTTATAATAAAGGTAATATTTATGTTACGCTCATGGCTTACTGTTAATTGAAGTATGCATTATATGTTTTGCTGAATACAAGTCAATGAACCGTATAGAGGAATTAGTTTAAAAATTATACCAAGTGTAAATTTTTAACTATACGCCTAGTTTTATTTAGTTATGTAAATTTGTTCACACTGGTCTTATTCTTAAATTTGTCATTTTGGTTCTCAAATTAATCATGTATACTGATTTGTAAATAATATTGATCAGAAAAGATTTGAAAATTAAACTACAGTCTTATTACTATCTTACTAATTGACTAATTATGAGATTCGTTTGAAAGAAGCCTAACTCATCTGACTGTAGAATCATCATTTTCACTGAGTTTTAATGGTAAGGTTTATCTGTAATCATAAGAAACTTGATAATTTACATAAGCTTTAAACTAATGTCAAATTGAGAGATTTTACAACTGATCTATTCAAGCCTCAACTGAATTCCTTAGCACTTTAAGTTAATGTTATACGACTATAGTTTTCATACACATATGCTCAGTTCTTCCTAATGTACTTACTTTTGACATATATTTTACAGATAAATATTCATATCTTAACAGATAATAGAAATTTATTGTTAATTGATGTACGAACAGTTTTCATTTGTTTCAAGATACTATTTTAACAGTAAATGTATATGATTTGACGTATTATGGAAATTAGATCGTTCTTATGTAAAATGAACTTTCTAGGGTTAGTACAACTATTGTAAAGTAATAAAATGTAGTTCATATTTACGAAACCATCTAAATTATTAAGTTAATAGTATTTAGCCATCAGTTAGTCAATAAAAATAAACAATAAATTCACTTGGTATTATTTACGTGAATCTTTCCATTGATGTTTAGGACTGCAATTGATCAGTTTCTTATTAACATATGTGCATACTGTGTGTATTGCCTTGATATTGCCTTATTCACAAGTATTATAAGCATTATTTATTTTTGCTTAGTAGATAATGCGATGACGTTTGAGGCGAATAGTCATGAGTTCAAGTCCCAGAATGAAAATCAACTCTGAAATGCAAGTATGTCAAGCTGACAAGTCCCAAATAGAACGAAATGCGCGTCCTCGATCCCCCTTCCAAACCCCTATCCGCCTTTGCTTAGAATAAATGATAGTATATAATAACAAAATTGACAATAATTGTATATCAGAAGGGGTTTTGTGGAGATTTTAGAAATTTCACTGATTGAAATCACGAGTCAATTGAAGCTAGACCACCATGGGAGACCTAGAAGCACTGGACGGCCGTTTCTTACTAAGTATGGGACTCCTCAGCAGCGCGCGTCTACGATCCCGCACCCCGCGAGATTCGAACCTATCAGTCTCTCGCCAGGTGCTTAACCAACTAAACCACTGAGCCGGCATCCAACGGTGTTAATGTCTAACTTCAACCAATCCATGAAGTTGCGCCACCGTACACCAATGTCATCAGTAAGTTGATATCTCACAACAGATCTGGTTGAACTCCACTGGTAACGGCTTCTCACAAAAACTCCAGGAGTATCTATTAAAGCCAGTCACTAGTGAGCAGATGATTATTATCAGAAGAGATTTTGTGGAGATTTGAGAAATTTCAATGATTGAAATCATGAGTTCAGTGCTTTTAGGTTTTCCATGGTGGTCTAGCTTCAATTGACTTCAATTGTATAAGAATATTAAACTTGTTATTTTATTTTTTTTTTATAAAAAATCAAACAATAACAAATAGAATAATAATTTATGAATTTTATTTTTTCCTTTTAAAATAAACATTCATAATAAATCAAAAATAATAACAGAAAAAAATATCATAAAAGTTCCATAGAAAAATTATACTTCAGATTATAGATAATACAAAAAAAAGAGAGAGAGCGAGAGCGAGCGAGCGAGAGAGAGAAAGAGATTAAAGTATCATTGAAACACTGAATCAATAAAATTTTACTTATTTTCAAAAATATTTTTTTTTTAAACAAAACATACAAATTACATAACAACAACAACAACAACAAAACTATAAACCTAATTTTTTTTTGAAAACAAAGAAAATTAAAGAAGTTCCATGTAAACTCAGATCATAATAAACTATGACAAAATAATGTTACACTCATGGATCATATAATGGATTTTATCCAAAAGAAATCAATGAAATATATTTCAATGAATAAATTTCTTTAAAATTACGTCATAATTATTTTCATAAAACACACATTAAGCATAATTATAATAAGAGATATGTTTAATGTAAATTTGTTTTATTAAATTTCTATACAAATATAAATACATGATAAAATATAAATTATATGGGAATATATATTTGTTTATATATTTCGATAATGAGAAAAAAAGAGAAATTAAATTTGTACATAAACATTGAGAAAAAGAAATAATCATAAGAATTGTTTTTTTCTTTCTTTTCGTTTTAAATGTCAAACGTATTCATCACCTATACATTGTATGTTTATGTATGTATGTGGGCGTGTGTGTGTGTGGGGGCATATGTGCGCGCGCGCGTGTGTGTGTGTGATTTTTCAAATTTTTAAACTCATTTCATATACTTATTTATATCAATATATTTTACATATCAATGTACAATGTACAATTATTGATTAATTAATTGATTCATTTTTTGTTGTTGTTTAAAAACAAACTGTAATTTATGTATTATCGTGAATCTATACATAAAGAATAATTATAATTATTATATATACAATTCTGCTTTAACATCAGGATGATTATGATATTTTTGTTGTAATGCATGTTCAGCGGATTGAAAATGATTTCCAAGTGCTTCATCTGTATCATAAGCAGATTGATAACGTGAATATCGTAGACGACAATAGTAAATTAATATACCAAGTAGAATAATTAATATAATACCAAAGATTACTAAAAATGAAAATAAAAAGAGAAAAATTATAATAAGAGTAATGGTTTAAAATATAGTTTAAACTATAGATGTTACTGGTAATAGATTAACTGTTTTCAAAGTTGAATATTTTTTATACTATGACAAAGTAATGAAGATTTTTAAAACAAAACTTGTATTCAATGGCTAGTTATAAACCTACAGGAACAATTGTCGTATTGTCTCATACGTATAATGATTGTTTTTTTTGTAAAAGTTTTATATGAGGATGGATATCAACTAGGACACTAATAAAAACAAGATAAGATCAAAATCATAGTACAGAACTTCTCATCAACCCTAATCGCAATCAAATTGTGATAATGTTGAGTAACGTATTTATTTCCGAGATAGTTGGCATCATTGTTCAAAACAAAAACGATCTGCAATGTTAAACTAACATATACAGATCTTGCAATCAAAATTCATATCTGAATTACCACAGAACTTAAATATCACTGGAATATAATTCAATAACTCAATCCGATAACACGGTGTCTATTTATATAAACGCATATACTCTTGAGTAAATTTAGATAGACAACAATATGTAGGCATAATTTATAAAATCTGATTGGCGTATTTGCATATTTTAAGCAGACTAATAACCCTAATAAATATATAAAGTTAATTTATAGTGCAATCGTTTAATTTAAACAGTATTTTGATAACTATTTACAAGATGATATAATTAACGTAGTGCGACCTACATAAGCACAATACAATCTTATTTTGTACTTGCTCTTATAGTAAGACAACAAAGTATCCATTATTGAACATTTAGGAAAACTCTTCATGAACTCATTGTTACCATGATAACCATGAATTTTATGTGCTAAGTAAATTCAGTTTCATAAAATTAGGTGCTCTTTATAAAAGTGTCTTGTCATATTATCCATGATAATATTGTATAATTATTAAATCACTAACCCTAAAGCTTTATTATGTGTGCAGTGGTGTTTTTTTAACAGTTACTAGTCAGCTGGTGTATGGATATGGTATATTCAAGACTAAGTATACAGTTTCTAATAGAGTATTCATTTGAAACCGGCACTTAAGTTCACAAACCTTTACCAAAATGTGGATTTTTGGTCATTTAAATCAATATTTGTAGAAAGCATTTTATTACTTACGATTGGTTGAATAATAAATAAATGTGGATCTAAACATTGAATCATAAATAGAACTATTTTAGAAAATAATTTTAGTTCTTTGAAGAAAAAACAGGAATATTTGGCGAGACTATAATTTATGGACGAACCAATCATATTTAAGATGGCAGGTTTTGAATTATGGCGCGAAATTTATTCACTCATTTCGTTAAACATCTATTTGACATTATAGCTGATGTCAGTTCGTGATGGTACATTAAATCTAATTCTTAACCCTAAAGTTCAACTCTAAATCCTTATCCTAATTCCTTCACACTAATCTATAACCCTCATTCAACTCTAGTAAGTAAGTGGACATTCCAAGGTCATTTTAGCGTTGCTCAAATGTCGTCCATAAATTATGATCTCACCGGATATTTCCCTTATGTACGGTGCATAACTATTACATCCAAATGGACTGTTTTTGTTGAATGATTCGAAATGATCTAATTCCTATTAAAATTGTTCACATATTCTGGCTCCTTGGACTATACCACGAAATTAATAAAGTTACAAAATATGAATCTATTAAATCCAGAATCACAACAGTGTTGTAACTGATGTAAAATCTAATGGTTTTGGGCTCGATCTTATATGATGTAGTGGGTGTCCATCTCTATAGAGCTTTAAAAAATAGCATGAAACAGTACAACTTGATGTTTAAGTTCTCCGCCTAGCTTATAAAATTTGCATAAGTATTCGTATAGTATAACAAAGTATTCTGTTTTCTAGAATTTTTGACAATCGCAAATCCAAAAGAACGAAAATAATTATTTACTCTATCATCAAAACTTGAATACCTTGAGAAAATATTTTGAAAAATTGGCTGAAGAGAAATTAATTTTATATTAAATGACAGAACAGTGAAGAACAACAGAACTTTCTGAGATAACCAGTTACAAACAAGAGAATTAGAATGAATTTATTATTCTTTAATGCGATGGTTAAAAAGGCCACTATCACATAAATAAACGTTGGATATTTTGTTAAGATGATTAATAAAAAGCCAACTCACAGAACGCAATGTTACTAAAATCATCTACTTCAGACTTAAATCTTCAGTAGTTAATATTAAGAAGCAACATGATATTAACTTTGAAATATAATTCTAAAATTTTATTGTATTAAAGTAACTAAAGAAATTCACTTTCATAATATCGATTAAATAACTAAAAAGTAAACCATATTATAGAAGAATTAAATTCATAATGAATATATTTGCATGTTTTATTTACTAAGAATTGAAGCTGTTATTTTTGTTTGGATCAATGATTTGTTAATCAACATTTTCACTGTCATTACCAAGTTCAGGTGAAATCGTCCTATTTAAACTTTAAAAATAATTTTATGGTTAGATTAGAATATTCTTACTACCTAATAGTTGGATTGATGAGTCGATTAAAGCTAGACCACCATAGATAACCCGAAAGCACTGGATGTTTGTTTTGTCCAAGTATGGGACTCTGCAGCAGTGCGTATCCACAATCCCTCTCGCGGGATTCGAGCCTTGGACCTTCAGTCTCGCACTTCAAGAGGTATTTCCTGGAGTTTTAGTGACTAACTGTGACCAGTGAAGTTCAGTCGTATCACTTGTGAGTCAGTAATTCACTGAAGACAATGGTGGACAGTGGCGCAATTTCCTGGATTAATTGAAGTTGAACATTAACATCGTTGGATACCGGTTCAGTGACTTAAAGGTTAGGCGTATGCATGCAAAACCGAATGTTCTGGGTTTGAAAAGTCCTATACTGAGACGAAATGTCCGTTCAGTGCTTTCAGGTTTTCTACGATGATCTAGCTTTAATCGACTCATAAATTCAACTATTAAATTACTACAATCTTCACAAAACTCCTTTTTGATATTCTTACTATTGTTAAATTTCACTGATTTAATTTCGAATCCATCATATTCATTGAATCTTCATTTTATATGAATTACTCTTTTCCAAGAAAAAAAATTATTCAAGAGATAAACAGTTTAGTAATGTTTACTTTTGATTATTTTTTGATGTTAAATTCTAGAAATTATCACAGTGAAAAAGGTTAATAACAAATTTTGATATGCATATATACCTACACGAAGTGCATGTTTATTCTGCCAAAAAAAATGTCATCAAATATAATAACTGATTGATTTAAGAAAAATTAAATTGAATTATCAATTACATTGTAAACAAGTTTAGTGAATGTTTAGAATGAAACGATAAATTAAGATTAAAACATTATTACATTTCACTTGGTTACTTCTCATATTTAAACTGTTCATAATTGAATTTAAAAATTGACTTTAGTGAAACTATGGACTAGTTAGAAGAAAAAAAATGAAGAAGATATTCAACTGATTATTTAACAATGTTATACCCTCTAATAATAATAATAATAATAATAATAATAATAATAATAATTGCATACTTAAATGTATTTTGATTAATGAATGCATATCGTATAAATTCGACGTGTGAGGCTGTTTTTAATGAACCTCACATCTAAACAAGTTAGATAATTGTTTTATTAATTTGAAACTAATTAATTTGCACATTTCGTTGAATTACTGAATAAATTAATCAAAAAAATACTCTGAACATAATTTCATATAATAAGTTTAATTTTTAGAATCATTTATAATTTTGTATAAATATGTTGCTATTAGAAAGTGTTGATGTAATTTATATTTTTAAGAAAACTGTTATGCCCTAGCAAAGATTAATTTATGAGTAACTGCTGAAACCTATTAATGGACTAATATTATCTATATATTCTTATGGTATAATTATTCGGTAATTAGATTATGTATATTCATATTCCTCTTATTATAAGCTTCATTTTGATCTGTAGATTATTATTGTACGATTTACTGTTCATAAATTATACTCAGTGTATTAATTACCGTCTCCCACGTTCACAGCCACATTTTGGCTTTATTGTGTAATAAATGTTATTTCCTATTTTACAGTGCATTAAGGTCTGTTTGGTTGATATATAAACCCAGTATGTCTGAAATAAATGATTCGCTTAGCGGAAGCTTTTATTAGTGTTCCGGACTCAATTGAAAGGGCTAAGGGAGGAAAGGACCAATAAGGACACTGAGCTGGTCAGACAAATTGAACGTCATTGGTTCAGTAAAATATAAGAGGGATTAAGTCGTATTTTGATTGGCAAATAAATTATATGATAACTAGCCGGACTTGAAGTCACAACAAAAAACATAACAATTAAAACAAATTATTAAAGTGTAAGGAATTGAATCTTTTAAGACTGTATTTTGATTTATTATAAAATCAGATAAAAAATGTAATTAAAGTAAATAGAAAATTATATTACATCATGCAATTCTCATAATCGATTATATCCATTATATCTTTTAGTTGTTATTGAGTTTATATTATGAATAAAGTTGTATTAATAACCTTAAAGATTATCAAGCTTTATGCAAAGTGATGATAACATATGAAGTTCAATGGTTTCTATGTTTTGAATTGATTTATACAATAAAATGTAATATATATTTTCAATCTTTAAACTTATCCAGTAATAATCTTTAGGTATAAGACTGAATTTATATCCAAACATAAATAAACACTGTCAGTTGGACAATTATCTGACCCATAAATTAACACATGAACACCATTACATGCCGGCTCAGTGGTCCAGTACATTAAGCGTTCGCGCGCGATACTTAAGACTCTGGATTCGAATCCCTCGGGCGGGACCGTGGATTCGCACTGCTGAGGAGTCCTGTACTAAGACGAAACGGCCGTCCAGTACTTCCAGGTTTTCAATGGTAGTCTACCATCAATCGGTTCATAATCTCAATCAAAAACTTAATAATC